CTATACCCTGCACAACCCCTATTAATGTTTCCCCTCTCTTTCTAACATTAACGTGTTTAGAAGGACAGAAAAGGATAAAAGTTATACGTGTGTGTGTAAAACGGCGCGGGCCCAAACATCTGCCTGGTTCCTGATATTTTTCGGTCGGTTAAGTTATTCGAATAATAATACTGAATTAAATTTGATTAAAGTTTGAATTGATTTTACTGTGGTTCATCAATTTCGTTACAGTTCTAATGTAAAAGATTTGACTGGCTATTAATGATTTCATTCATATTACATTGGGATATAGACGATGCGCGAAAATACATTTCCATCTTTATCAAAACTTATTACCATAAGCACTTACTTAAATTAACAAGTACATGTACATAACTTATTTCGTTTACATCTAGCATTATGGTACTTAATTCAAACGAAATATTAATTCACAGCATGTAACGGTTTTGCCATTGAAAAAACAAGACCGAGTTGAATAGAACAATTTCAAGAAAAAACTTGATCTTGAACCTTTGCAAAATTATGCGAGCCCTTGTTTAGAGAATCGTAACTTCTAACTGAGAGTAATAAGGTATAAAATGGAATGGGGTTGTAAATTCGGATGATAAATATAGCGTTGTTTTATAATAAGAAGTTGGCAAAGAGTTCATTGAAAACGAATGCAGTTCTAAGGTCTCGGAGGAAGGGGCAGGTCCAAAACGTCTCGTGTGGTGTTAAACAAAGAGAATGAAAGGAGTATTATGTCTGGACCTCAGTACCAATGAATGCAACTCAAATATGAATACTGTGCAAATTAAAAAGATTTTAAATGCAACAAATGGGAACCAGACTCCTTTTAATAATAGCCTTAAAGATGGAACTCGTTTAAATTAAACAGCACAGTCAATAGCACAGGGCTTTGTTCAATTATTTTTAGAAGTATTGCCGTAGCAGTAACTGTACAATTTACCTAATACTGCACTATTAAAAGCACTTAACCCTTATGTCACTATAATCTAATTATCATTCATATATGGCAAGAAAATATTTCTCATCTTCATTGAAAAGCTTAACACGACACATTCAAAATATAACTGATAAAAATTACTGTTACAAAAACTAATATTTAATCATGAAGTTTAAACTTAAACTCAACTAAATAAACTAAAACTTTTACTTTCGATTAAGCCGTTCCAATAGCTATCAAAGACACCTTTGTCCTATTGTTATCATTCAGAATCATACCCAATATTTTGAAGCGGATATGCTTACAGCTCCCCCTTTTTAAAAACAATCTATTCAATGGCTAGTCTAGTCGTCTAGATGCAGTCTCAGGGTTCCAGACGACTTTTGTTGTAGTGACCTTAGCTTATTTAATTTTTCAAGTTGAAGGTTCCCTTTTGTTCCTTTTCTTGGCCGCCGATAATAGGCACGTCGGGACTCGGGATCTGGGGAAGCCCTCAATAGCCTAGCTAATTCAAGGTGTCCTATATTGAGATAGGTTAGCATTGGAAGGTAAGTTGGCAGGGAACTATTCATAATACAGCTGTTTTGAAATATGAATGCGCAGGTTAACTTTTGTGTCTTTGTTTGGTCTAGACTTCATCTATTGAGTTTGTTTTGTGCATAGAAATGTTTTTCATACAATTTTCTTCGCTTAAGCTAGAGCAGTGGTTTTGCGACAAGATAGGGTTTTGTAACTTTCGTTTCTATATGTAATGATTATGACAATCCTGAACGTGCATAATTATTTAATTGAATTTGTAATTACGTTATCACGTTGCCTTTTGAAATTCTTACTTGATGTTTCAAAATATTGAATTAGTTATAAAGTTGAAATTAGTTCACACTACATGTTTTGGGAAGCTGAAAAGAATATTCTTATTTTACCACAACACTATAGGAACAAGAAATTAAAGAAAACACACTGGCAACGTTCTTAAAAAGTTGCTTTTAAAAAGGGTTCGAATGTTTTGACAGATCAATCCACCTCGTTCGAATGCTGTGGCATCTCCGATTCGATACACCTTCCCCTGCCAGCAATTACCATATGGCTAAGCTAAATATAGCCAGGATAGTATGCACCATAGTCACACTTTACGTATCCCACATGTTCGCAAGATGGTGAGCCTCGGTCTTCGCCGTGCTGAGCGGATTGCCGCGAAAAAACCCGACATCTTGAGTTACAGGATGCACTTTTGAGTATTAGGAGTACTCGTCTTACTGTAAATCCAGAGACAGTTTAATGTTTCCATCTTCGAATTTCATTTTTTAATTGTTGTTTTTAACATTAATTTTTTTACCAGTGTTCATTAGCAAGATATTTAAAAATAATATTGGAATACGTTTTAAATGTAAGTCGTTAACTTAATTAATAAGTTTGTGCTATTTTTATTATATTTTTTATTAACGCCTTTAAGAATCGGCGTACAGATAAACGCCAATGCTTCGCGTTGCCTTATAATAATATCAGGCGCTTAGTAATCCGCTCTTGCTTAACTGTATTTTTTGTAATCTAAGCGTAATTTTGTAATATCTCTGTAGTTATAAAAATTAGTTAGCGATTTCATAGGCACTAATAAAATATTTGACGAGTGATTTGTGTACTATGTGGCATGCAAATTGATTTAAAGGATATCCTAAATCCCTTTGCCGTCATAGAAAAACGCTGAGTGAATGCTACTTAGATACATTTCAAGCGTAGACAAGAAATATCACTAGTACTTCTAATATTCTAATAAATGCTATACGTAACTTACGCATTTTTCTTTCTCCTACTTTTAACTACATTTACTACAATTAGGTTTTCGGTTTGTCACTAAAAAAAAGCTTTGTCTGAATATACCTAAGTACATTAAATCGTTTAGGTATGCATCAAGTAATATAAATTTTCTTCTGAGCAACTGATGCGGAGTAGATAAATGTATCGATACTTATTTTAGGCGTTACATAACCACATTGAAGATTAAATTCCCTCTAATAGCCTACAATGCGTAAATTAACTAGCATGGATACAAAAAATATATCTACCATGGTAACATAATAGTAAGAACTTAATTAAAGATGTCTCACCAAAGGAGAATGGCTTTCAAAATAAAAATAATAAGAACTTCATAAATTATTATGTATCTGACATAATATAATTAAGTCATAACTGTAATATTTTCTCTATAAACAGGAAACTTTTTTAAGGATGACACAAATAAGTAATTAATTCTGACCTTATTAGGTGAGCAAATATTCGTTAGGGTAACCACCTGTTACCTGTTAGCCAACTGAAATAAGGTAGTTACCCTCTTTCCGTGGTTTCACCACTTCACGACAAGAGTTTCAACTCTTTCTAAGGGAAAAAGTAGGTAGGTGTAACAAATAATTCATACAGATCATTAACAATTCTTATTGCAAATTCTATTGAATTTAGTTCAGCATTTTTCGCATATTTGAGTAACAAATACATTTTTGCCGTAAAATAAGATTTTACTATACCTTGTCTAGATAGTAATTCAGATTGTTACAATAAGTACTTAAACAATTCTACGTGAAAAAGCCGGTATACTTAAAATTACACTTCACTATTTTTTCCTGCATTGCTAATGTAATTACTTTATACGTACATAGATCAGATTTCTATAAAGAACCAAACTTTGTTAATAACTTTATTTTATAATAAACGCTAACCGACCCGTTGATCAACCTTCGAACCTTTTTCTATCTCCCATTGATAATCCCGTTTCATAGCTCCATATTACAAAAACTTTTCGCCAGCGTAAACTAAACTCTATTTCCATGGAAACATGAATTATAATGATTCAGGGAAGTATACAGTTGAACTAGAGATGTAACAATAGTCATACTAGGACTGTGGCGCGTGCCACTACACAAAAGCTAAAGGGCAAGCAGCTGGCGTGGGTGTACAACTGTACACACACACACATACAGACAAACATGACAGTTGAAAAAAAAGATTAATTATTATATTATATCTAGATAATAAATTGTTTACTATCTTCTATTACATGTAATGTCTTCCTCAAATTCTATTGTTCATTTCCTTTGGCAAATAAGTCATTTGCATGTTTTTCGGGATACTTTGAAGTTGGAGCTAAAGTACCTATTCTAAAAGGACAATGAAAATGTTTCCACAAAAATATGTCCATTCTTTTAGTTAATGTAATTCCATATAGGTACAGTATTTAAATGTGATTGAAGAATACATTTACAGAAGTTTTAAAGTATTGAGCAATAAAATACAACAATGTTACTACTCTTAACTACTGCTAACATTAAATATTCCATTTGCCAACCCCCTGCGCCAGCGCAATCATTTCGGAGTTCCATTGAAACACGCGAACGGTTTTAGCTAGATTATTGTCCATGTGTGCGTTTATATGGCATAATAAAGTAGATATGTGTTGGTATGTAAGTGCAGCTTACACACACATGTATAAACCTATAGTTGGGTGCGACACCCCATGAAAATTATATTGTCCTTTATACTGTTCAGGTTTTGGGTCATCGTTGCTGTTCGTGGTCGAGTTTGATTTGAACTTTTAATGTAGTCTGAATCTGTTTAAATAAAACGAAATGTGTTTACGAAATTATTAGTGATTTACGTTTTTGAATACGTTATTTAAAGAAAATGAACCTACTTTTTGGACAAGATAAAATACATTAATCAAAGCGTAGATTCAATGATTGTCTGTACTGTTGTAATAATTTAACTAAAAAATAAATATAACGATCAAACCGAACAGGAACGCTTCCCCATTCCGCCCTTTGAAAGAGCATGTGTGCAACTAGTCAACGTAAGTACCCCTGTTTATCCCCCCGCGAGCCACCCCAGGTGCGCCCGCGCGGCACGCGCCATTCCTGTCGTGGCCGGCGCTCTGACGCCATCGAATAGTCCTACTCCAGTTAACTAGAAAACAGTTATTTTCTACGTGATATAATTTAACCCAAGTCCGCAACTAATACAAAGTAAACAAACGTAACATGTGAAAACGGCAACTCATCGTACCGAAATGAGTTCCATCGGTGTTGTTGTCTTCCGCAATTCGCCGCTCGGCAAGTCGCAGGTGCTCCAGGAATCCGTGAATAATTCCGTGAACATATCGAACAATGAAGGCAATCAAAATTCCACACGTGAAATTATTATAGTGAGAAAGAAGCAGAAGACCCCATCCGTGCCTACGACTGTGTCAGTGACATCATTAGTTCGTGCTGCTGACACTGCCTCATCAATAGGACCAGTGGCTAAGAAATCGCGATCGTGTGAAAATGTGGATGAATCAGTGCGGTCACCAACTCCTCTTGCAGTAGCTCGACGAAATGCGCGGGAACGCAACAGAGTGCGCCAAGTCAATGATGGATTTGCCGCTCTCCGCCGACATATCCCCGAAGAAGTGGCGGCTGCCTTCGAAAATGCTAACTCCAATCGAGGAGCTAACAAAAAGTTGAGTAAAGTGGAAACGCTACGTATGGCAGTTGAATATATTCGAAACTTGGAGAACTTGCTGAACATCGGCCATGACAAAGAAAACTCTTCACGACCATCAATGGAATCATTCCCGTCTCCAGCATCATCATCGCCTAGAGAAAATAGCCAAGAAAGGACTTATTACTCATTGCATTCGCCTGCAATTGAAGATGAGGATATGGATGAAGATGAGTTAGACGGATCTATGCATATTCCTCGACAACAATATATTGATATACAAGCAGCAGAACAGTTCCAGTTAGTGGCCACTACAAATTTGTACGAAGAAGAAGAAGGCGCTGGACAACCTCTCACTCCATCATCTGATCTTCTAGGTCACGAAGAGATCACTCCTAATTTATTGGAAGGACATTTCGCATTCCCGAATTCAGCTGAACAATTTACAGTGATTCCTGAAAGACATTACTTGAGTGAAACTGATGTGCCAGTGACTGAAAATGATTTCGAAGTGAAATATTCTACGATTATGAATCAACAAATGCATCACAGTTTCACTGAGGATACTAGCCTGCCCTCGATTGATCCTGGATTGATTTTGAACCATAACGAATATAAATTTAAGGCTGACAATACTTTATTAGTTGAGGATCAGTTTAATGATGACATGGAACTGAAGAAAGAACTACCAGATATTCAAGTGACACCAGAAGACAGAGAACAATTCGAAGAAACCTTGAAATGGTGGCAGGAGAAAACAAGACAAGCTCGATTACTGAAACATAACAATAAGAATTAATTATGATATAAATGAACGTAGTTCGCGTGTAGATAAATTTAATTTTAGATATTTATTGCGATAGACGTATGTATAGTTTAGTAAAACATAACATACAGCTGTTAGTGCCAAAGTCGGTTGACGGCGCAGGCGCAAGGTGTGTTGTAACGGTCGAGAGACGAGCCTGCACTTCAAGCTTTGTACATTGATCGTGTTATTTATATGTAATTCTAGTAGCTTAACATAGTTCAATGACTTAAATATTCTATGATTGTCCAGTGTATGGTAGAATAGATAAAAGCTCGCCTGAATAGTTCAAATATTGTAAATACTTACGAGTTTCCTAGGGCACCTCTTTATACAAATTGAATTACTTGACTTAGTGCCTTCTATTTTAGTAAACATTGTGATGTTAGATTTTAGATAATTTACGATAATAAACATATCTGAACCCTAATTTTGTTTTTTATTAAATTAAGGGGAACAATATTTTGTGTATCACTTCTTTCTATCTTATCTGTTGTAAAATCTATTGAGGAAAGCTGATAACGTGTTGAAATGAAATTTAAATTGCCACTGGCCCTAACAAATTCTCTTCTCCTAATTTCTCTACGGCCAATAAGTCTGAGTAAGGCCATTTACGTCACATTCCCTCAATACCAACCCCAGTGAGACAAAGACCCTTATGCTAATGCGACCAATCATTTGACAGTAAATGACCTACTTAAAGCGCTTTGCAGCTTAGCATAAGCCGCTGCGGTCGATTGCACCATCCTCTAAATCTCTTGTTAACTGTCAAACTAACTTTTAACGATGTAATTTTTTCTAAATTGAACTCCAGTATAAAAACAACGGAGTTCAATTTAAAAATATCTGAAAACAAATATGTAGGTATCTATTACCTTAAAATTATTGCTAAATTATCGTTTTTCAGGAAGAATACATAATATCCCGTTGCATTTTTGTTCAATAACCTCGTACTAAAAATGCATTACCAGCTTTGATTAACAATGCAAGCTAATTTTTTCAGCCCAATAACATTAAAATAATCTAGGTATATCTTGAATGGATTTCAATTTCCTAATCTAAGTTCGTTCCTTAATCTCCCGTTAACATTCGGTGCAGTCAGCCCAAAACCCGAGCCGTTAACGGTAAGGCGATAGCACTATTATGATTGTAATGTGCCGCCGCCGTTATCCCTTGTAAAAAATACCAAGTTTCAAGGGAGACCCATACAAACGGGTTGATTACAGTTTGGGTCGACTGAACTGATTTAATTTTTATGAAAGACATTTCAAATTATTCAAATCAATGCTGCAATTTGTAAACTTTTGATGAATTTGCAATTGTTATGAATATTGTAATGATTGTAAACTCAGCTGCTGAATATTAAGTTCAGATTTGTCCCACAGAATCCTACTTAATACGAGTACATTATTTTGAAATAATCCTTAGTAGAACCTAAGCGATTGGACAAAGCACACACCTGATGGTAAACAATCGGTGTCGGACACCTGGAACACCAGAGGCGTTAGAAGTGTGTTGCCGGCCTTTTGGGGATTAGGAATTTGATGATTATTGCGTATTTGGGGAATAGGGAGATTGGGGAAGGCGAAAAGGGGTAATTGGGCCTCCGGTAACCTCACTCACACGACGAAACACAATTCAAGCGTTGTTTCACGTCGGTTTTCTATGAGGTCGTGGTATCACTCTGGTGGAGCCGACCCTTTCGTGCCGAAGTATAGTTCTGCTATACTTATATATTAGAATAGACCATCTGATTCATTGCTTTTCACTCAACTTTTTCTGAATCCGGAATTACAGTACAAGCTTATAAATTGTTTTGACTTCAGTCAAATAACGGAAGTTTTGCTGATGAAGAATCCGACGTATTTCAATATTGGTAAACAAAGTTCGCCTATTTCTTCCTTCGTTAGTTTCGTTCCGCACGCTCCTTGTATCCGGGACTTTAAGAATGTAAAATTTCTCCCTTAATTTTTTCCTTACATCAAAATATCGCCATATTTTATGGGGTAGTTGCACGCTATTTTGACTTCCATTTGAATATTTTCCGCTCCATTCGTCAGGCGCTGTTTCAAATGATTAAAGTTTTTGATACACATGAACGAATATCGATCACCGTTAGGAAGTAAGTTATCGATGTTTAATTTTTTTTTATTGTGGATCTTGAGAACACATAGGTACTACGTATGATTCCTGACTATATAACTTGGATTTTAACTCGTCGAGTACCGGTTTTATATACACAACTAGCTGTTACCCGCGACTTCGTCCGCGTGAAATAACGACTTCTGTATAAATTGGGTTTTTAAAATTAGTCTTTGTCAAGGTATATTCTACGGCTGTACAACTGGAACAAATATCATCACAATCGATTCAGTACCTAGGTTATATTTATTGAGAAATGAATTTATTTTCGTGGTTTCTAAAATAAACAATCCCATAGAGGTTTTACCGGTACAGTGCCCGTCTCGTGAGGTTTCACTATTCTATGTTTGCAAATCAATGTTGTATCGCATTTCAATCAAATAGATATAGTGATTTTAACAGCACAGTTCCCGGTTTCGTGGGTTTTTCGGGTTAAAAACTTTTAGATGTCCTTTCCCGGGTCTCAAACTATCGCTGTACCGAATTTCACCAAATAGGTTCAATGGTTTAAAAGGTAAGAGCCCCTCTTTATTTCAACGTCCTTGGTCCTGGTTTTTTAACGCATAGTTTCCGTCTTTTTGGGATTTCCTCTCTATAATGTGACCTGATATGTACCGGTGCGACGTGCGTTACTATCGCAAACATTTAAATGAAAAAATAGGTATTCTGATATTAGGTTAGTTACATATGATACATGTACTTCAATGTTGATATTAATGTCCTCTATAAGACTTAATACATCCCTTGTCTCTATTGTCCATAATTTCCATAGCGTAATCAATACCAATAATATAAGGAGTTTTTTTGGTAGTTTTTCACACATCGGGTTGTCATTACCTAAAGGAGATTTTTTTTGAGGTCGGAAAATCATCCAATTACTTCTCCCGCCTTGGGTTAGGTTAGAGGAAGTGACAGATTCTTACTGACTAAAATCCACTCCGTTCCTACTCCTGCTCGTCGAGCCGGAGCTCCGTCAACTCGTTAGGCCTCCCGCGGCACCGTATCGAGCATCAGCCCTACTGGGCTCCATCTATGATGGTGTCATGGCTCTGTAAGGCGCGCGCCGTATGCACGGGACTGGTTCTGGTCGGGTGGCGAGCTACCCTTGCTCTTCGTCTACAGACCCGCACTTACGGTGGCCGGTGGCCGGCCGATCTCCGACGCCCAGAGTGTCTCCCGCGACGGCTGGGGCGTGAGGAAGTTCATTCCCTCACGCGCTCCGCTTTCTCCTTGGCAAGCATAACTGCTTCGCAGAAGAATGCGACTGCATCCTAATCCCCCTCGCTCCATGGCCTGAACCAGAGCCGAACGCGAGAGGTCACCGTTTCCTACATCCCTGAGAACACGGCGGTGCTCAGCCCATGCAAGGTACACCGCCACGGTATGCTCCACCGTGTTCTCCGGACGGTCCTTGCATTGATGGCCTCTTTAAAGCCACTTTTAAAGAGGGGACTTTCCGCTGCAATGACAGCGAGCCCAGCCCTCGGTTACCTAAAGGAGTGTTTCGCTGTGTAAGTGAGGTTACCGGAGGCCCAATTACCCTCCCCCAGCCCCCCCAATCCCTGACAATCCTCAAATTACCAATTCCCAAAAGACCGGTAACGCACTTCTAGCACTTCTGGTGTTACAGGTGTCCATGGGCGGCGCAGATTGCTTACCATCAAGTGATCCGTCTGCTCGTTTACCGGCTTATGCCATAAACAAACAGCAAACTATCATAGTGAATTTGACCTTGACGGTCTAAAATGAAAAGGACTAATAATATTTTTTAGCTATGTGCATTTAGCTAGTTTTTTTGATATACATATAAAAAATACGAATGCAAGTAAACTGAAAATATTTTATTCGTGGTTTTATCTCCTTAGACTGCTGTCAACCTCTTTGCATACCTTAATATTAATACCATAGTATAAAAAAAATCTATGACACATTGACTTTGTAAACTCACTTGTCACACAAATGTCAGATGACTTAAGAAATGTATACTAATAATATAAATTTGTATGTGCTTGTTTGTTTGTTTGTCCGTATTTTACGACAGAACGGAGTCAGGAAGGTTTTTGATTTGAGATAGTTGAAAAGATGGAGAGTATCATAGGCTACTTTTTGTCTTTTTCTAACCCCCTTCCACTTCCGTGAAACAGAGGTGAAAGTTTGTATGGGGTATTTTGCAATTTTCAATGTGGAAAGCTAACAATTGGTATGCGGGTTATTTGTGACCAGCATAGAATCGTGCATCATTTCATTTTTTTATTGTAAATCCTTCCCTCACCCCATTAAAAGAACGCGAGAGAAGCCGCAGACAGAGGCTAGTCTATGAATAAATTGTATTCAGTCAATTGAATTCGTATTTTGTCTTTAAAATCCCTGATCCCTGATGCAGCTGAATACTAATATTATTCCTTGAAAACCCACAGAACTTCATTTTTATATGTTGATGCCAAAATATATTATGAAAGTAGGACGCCATAACAATTACAAATCATTAGGTTGTTACCTGTCAGATATCCGTTTTCAGGTTTTCAGATAAATCGTAATAATTATTCTTAAAAATCGACATAGTGAGTCGAAATTTCAAAAACGCTAGAACAAATGTTTTATTATTTTTTATCAAGTGCTTAAATATAAAGTTTCATGGGTTTATCTTTAAAAATTATGAAATTCCATACAACTCCCCCCCTCTTTTAACCTCTTACAACGCCTTTTTCGCGATAAAAAGTAGCCTATGTTTTATCTCGGGGTCTAGAATATCTGTATACCAAATTTCATTCAAATCCGTTCAGTAGTTTTGGCGTGAAAGAGTAGCAGACAGACAGACAGACAGAGTTACTTTCGCATTTATAATATTAGTT